CCCACGAGACACAACTTACTGTTCTGCTCTCACTGGGCTTATAGAAATTTACCCATGTTGCTCATGGATAGATTTGCTTCTTCTTTGAGCAGGTGCAGGAATGACAGTCATGTCTGGAAGTCCATAGCAGTCTCCATATACAAGGAGCCTGTCCCAAAGACAGTAGAACATACATGGAGTAACCAGCACCCATCCCCATCCAGAAGAAATCCACAAGAGCCTCAGAAACAAGGCCCCATGCCTTTCCTGGTCCAGTTACCCTGCCTGAACAGCTGTCGCAACAGGGAATTATGGAGAAAGGCTCCCATAAACTGAGTGGCTTCCATAGAATCTCACAGTGTACAAAGAGAGGCAAAAAGGAATGTGAGTGACTTGTAAGTTTAAAGACTAATGATCTGGGATGGAAACAGTTATCTGGGAATGTGTAGGAACTCTCTCTCTCTCTCTCTCTCTCTCTCTCTCTCTCTCTCTCTCTCTCAGCAACAAAAGACAATCCCCTACATGAAACTATACTACAAAGCCATAGTGATGAAAACTACATGGTACTGAGGATCAGTGGAACAGATTAGAAAGTACAGAGAAAACTTCTGAGAAACTCAGCTACCTATCTTTGACAAAGGAGCCAACCATTTTCACTGGAGGCAAGATAGCCTCTTAAATAAATGGTAATAGAGAATTTAATTTCCACTTGTCAAAGATTAAAACTAGACCCATATCTTTAACCATGTAGAAAACTATAATTGAAGTGAATTAAAGATCTAAATATTAAAACAGAAACAATAAATTTGCTGGAACATAAATTTGGTAGAACTCTTGAAGGTATTGGCATGGAAAAAAACTTTACCAGCGGTTCCTCAGACAAAGGTCTACTATCTAAAATATATAAAGAATTCAAAAAATTCAGAACCCCTCAAATATAAAGAGCCAATTCAAACATGGGCATCTGAAATGAACACACATTTCTCAGACAAAGAATTAAAAGCAACCCATAAATATATGAAAAAAATGTTCAATGTCACTGGTCATTTGAGAGATGGAGATGAAAATAACACTAATATTTCATTTCACCCCAGAAAGTATGGCTGCTATGAAGAAATCAACCAATAACAAATGCTGGCAGGGTTGTGGGAGACAGGAACCGTTCTTCACTATTGGTAGCAGTGCAGACTGATGCAACCAATGTTGAAATCAATATGGAGCTAACTCAAGCAACTAGGATTAGAGGTTCCATTTGATGCAGCTATTACTGTGCTGGGTATCTTCCCAAAAGAATTAAAAGAATCATACAACAGCAATGTATGCTCACCCATGTTTATAGTGGCACAGTTTATAATAGGTAAAATTTGGGAACAGACCAATTGCCCATCAATTGGAGACTGGATGAAGAAGACGAGGTTTTTATACAAAATATAGAACTACTCAGACATAAAGAATGAGAAATTAGAGACATTTATAGCTTAGTGGATGCATATTGAGGTCATACTCTTAAGTGAAATTAATAACACACATGTAAATACTGAAATCTTGCTATGGTGTGAAAATCTAAAGTGTAAATAAGGATGAAAATATACAATTGATATTTTTTTCTAAAAGAGCACAGAAAGAAAATTTCTAAAAGAGTAGAGAAAGTGGGAGGGTAAGGGAAAATTAATAAGAAAAATATATGACAATTAAAAATATGGAAACAATATCTGCAAAACAGGAAGGGTGGAGGGGGTGAATGGAGAACTGGGGAATAGGGAAAAATGAGAACCAAGCTAAGTCATGTAAAGGTACAAGATCCCTATTATGAATGTAACTGTACTGTATACCTAAAATGTACCAATAAACTTAATTTTTAATAAAAGAAAGTGAGTTGGGCATCTGTCCCAGTTTCCAAAGGAATTTCATTGAGCAAAGCCATGAGGTAATGTTGGCACAAGGTGCGACAAAACTACAGTCCTACAAAGCAAGAACAGGAAGATATGAAACAAAGGGTTAGAATCTGTGAAGTAAAAATTCAGAAAGTTACAATGTAGGAGACAAAAACAGACTTTTACCTATGTTTAACTAACAGTAAAGATTAAGAGTAGAAGAATTTATTGAGAGAGAAATTGCTACTGTTTGAGAGAGACTGAAGTGGGACAGGAAACTGGGTTTCCACTGTCTATCATTTTTGCAGGACATATCAGCCTGAGTTGTAAATTATTTCTTTTAGGATTTGAAGTACTTCACTTTAAACTCTCTTGGCCTTCAAGATTTATGTTGAAAAGTCTGTTTTAATTCTAATATGTTTTGCTTTATAAATGTTTCATAGATTTTCTCAAAACACTTTTAAAATTCTGTTCCTATGTTGGAATTCTGGGATTCTGATTGTGATATGTCATGGAAAAAAATCTTTTCTGATCATGGCTATTTTGAGTTTCCTACGAATCAATTGATTGCTTGTTAAATTATTTTCCTTATTGGAAATATTTTAAGTTCTTATTTCTCTATATAGATTTTTATGCCATTTGCTTTGTCATATGATTTTTTTCACTAATTTAATTTTATCTTACATTAGTCTGTTCATCATCTTGAAGATACGTGATACATATTTCATATATTCTTGCTAATTTTAAAGTATCACCTATTAACTGTTCATACACAGTACCCATATCTCCTCATTGTGAATCTCTATCCTCATATTAGTCAATTTTATTGCCCAAATCTTTGATTGAATTTTACTATCAAAATTAATATTAAAAAGACTGTTATGAACATTTATGTCATGGACATTCATTTTTTACATCATTTTGTTTGGCTCTCCTAGTAATTGTTCATGTCTTGTGTAGATCACAATCGTTTTGATCACTTGGCCAGACATTTTTTGCTCATATCTCATGTGACCTAGGCAAACGTCACATCAGTCTGCTTTGTTATCTTCCCTAACATCATTAAAAATAATTTAGCTGTGTGGCTTTTGTTTCCTCCCCTTCAAGCCGCATGAAACAATTTTGGGGAGTGTGCAGTTTTTGGATGCGTTTTGTTGGGGTTTTTTTCCTCATGTTTCCCACATTTTATATTTGTTTTGGTGTTGAGGCTTGCAGATTTATTGTAGAAGAAAGCTTTCAAGTATGGTGACCTCTTAGTTTATTTATTTTCAGTTGTATCCTTTCGGCATGGCCAAATATTTGCCTCTGTCATGCTTTTTAACCTTCTCCCTTTACCTGAGATTGGAGTTTAAAACCTTTCCCAGAGATGTGTAATAATATTGTCAGCAATCTTAAGGCAATCTGGATATTGATATTCCACAAAAACCACTTGAAAGCGACAGCTGTGTCACCTCCGCTATAGTAATATAATCTACATTAAGTATAGCATCAATCTATTGTGAACCACAAGGACCAAAAACAGTATCACACTTAACCACAGAAAAGAGATCTGTGATTAGAGCAGGAACACGGAGACAAATAGATATTAACCAACGATTGATCTACATTAAATATCTACCAAATGGAACAAATTTGTCTCCAGTTACACCAAACTGTGTTCTACCACAATGAGTAATGTTTAATTAGTTATCCATAAGCTTAGAAGTTATATTACTAAAAGCAGAAGATGTGGGCAATGTGGAAACAAAGAAAATTTTAAAAATTAAACAAGAGGCTATGATAGCAAGAGAAACGTGAAATGGGTACTATTGCAGAGTAAAAGGAAGTTATAAGTCATGGAGAATAGTCACAGGGAAGATCAAACAAGAAAAGGGAGAAAAACTGTGAACACAGGAAAAAGAGAATATAAACAAAATAAGAAGGAGATAATTCTGAAGTGAAGAAAAGCAATTAAAATAGAATAAAAGGAAAAAATAACTCCCCCAGAAGATCTAATGAAAGAAAGATAAAATGATGTAAGGCACAAATTTTTAAAACCCAGGTTGAGTCAAACAAAGCAATTGCAAAGGTATTGAATGAATGGTTTCTTTACAGGATGTACAGTTTCAGGATCCAGCCAATCACAATTTTCTATGCTTTGTGTTATGGCGTTTCAGGGTGACCTCCCTGCATCCAAGGCTGCTTTGCCAGTTCCCTCTACAATGCATTTACCACCCAAGCCTAGGGAGCTCCTTATTCCCATTAGTAAGTAGGGAACTTGATCAACCCTATTGTCCCTGCTACAGTTAAGCTGCAGCCTGATGGTGGGAGGGGGCTGTTGCAGTTTATGTCCACAGCAGAGATGT